TTTTGGGCCCAACCAGAATTCCGGTTGGACCACCAGCCCGGTCCAACTGGCTGGTTGCTGGCACAGCCATGATTCATTCGTTAAAAAAAATCAACATGAGGATTTCTTTCTGAGTGCACTGCATAGAACACTTAACAGTAGGCATACCACTGCAAAATGGTAGGCAGCCAGCATGGTGGACACTGGACAGGCATAAAGGATTTCAATAATTTGTGAGAAAGTCCACAAAGCAATGAGCTTCCGTAGTCAGCGATGTATTTTCTAGAGTCCCAGATTCGCCGGATGCATGAATGCCAGCTAGATTAACTGGCACTGTCTCTGGTTTGAGCTGATGGGGTTGGTATGCCTCACAAGTTGCAACTTATTGCATCAGAAAAATTATTTCCATTCAGAGTTCCACTGAACCTCGTTACACAAAACGCCGTTGGCTTGCCATAGTATCAGCCTACCAACCCCATAGCCGCCGCCGCCACCTCCTCCTCCTCCTCCTCTTCCTCCTCCACCTGCACATACTGACCCCTATACTACTCCCTTGATGATTCCTCGCCGCCACCAACCACTTCTATGAAGCACCACCCTTTCCGCTGTCATCACTCACACCGTATCGCCTTTCAAGCTGGCAAATTTATCTCATCTACGCCTTTCATTTCTTATTTAGGTTTTGGACGACACAGGCCAATATCTGGACCTCACAACATCTTTTGCTATATCACCCATTGCCTTTCTTGGCTCTGCCAAGCGAAAACTATGTCAGTAGTCTCATGTCCTAAGACCAGACCTCCTGCTGCTACGTCTCCCAGGTCAATTTCAATACCTCGCCTCCATTTAACTTCTTTCACTCCATGTTCATTCCTCTTCTTGGCCAGGGAGGCTGAAACCTACGATGATCAGTCTCATGTCCTTTTTGTTGATGATGCAGAGACCTGCCAATGACAACCAAGCATTCCCCCTTGTGCCCATTTCTGTCTTTCTCCTTTCTTGACACCAGACCAAGAAGAATGACCGAGAGCATGCCAGCGATACTGCAGGCTGATAATCCCCTTTATAGCACTCCCAACTCCTCTTTGTGCCCAACTCTGTGCTCCGACCTCGATCCAGCAAGTTCAGGTTGAGAATGATGGGCCCTCATTTGTATAAATGTCTTGTCTCGCGGGCTTTTCTCCTCTTTGTCCTCTTTCGTCTACTCCCATTCCGTTTATTTCCTCTTCCTGTCTCTATTCGTCTGTCTTCCTTTTTGCCCTACGTCCATTCTTGTCTTTGCTCCTTTCTAATTGCTCCTTATTGCTTCGCTTTTGCCAGATTGCCTTCAACTTGCTTTGTACTTTTTCGTTTTTTTTTCGGTTGTGTTTGTTTTTTGTCACCTTTCATCTTCACCCCTTTGTCCTCTTCCTTTCCCTCCTTAGTGAAGTTCTAGCCAAATTTCTCTTTCGTTTGACATATTTTTTATTGTCCCATCTTCTCTTGTCATCACTCTTTCTCCGTCCCACCTCTTTGATCTTTCATTCTTTGAGCATGCCAGACTCTCCATATTGTGAGGGCGCCAGACATCTTTTGGTGTGGGAACAAGGGGGGGTACAATCATATGATGGTGAGTGAGAAGGAACCCTGTGTGGGAACTGTGTGGGACCTGTTCACATTCCTGGGCCTGCAGAAACTCTAGGACTTGTAGGTATCGGTTCATATGATAATTGTGAACCCCTCTCGAAATGCCCAACACCCCAAGCCCTATTTTCATTGCTCCTGTGTAAACCTTAAACCCTGAACCCTAAACCCTCAGTTTCAATGCTGGCATAATCTTGGTGTACTACCTCAGGGAATCTGACGCACTATTCTTGCTCACGTTGCTCCGTATTCCCAAACCAGTGAAAGACTACTCTGGATCCTTCGATTGTTACTATCTTACCTTTAACCAACGTAACCCTCTGAAACGTTTTGAACGTCTCCCGGTCTTTCTCCGGGTTTTGTTGGGATTATCTTCTTACTCTTTGCCATTGTGCTGTAAAATCCATCTCCAACATATTATGCAGAACTTGCTTGGCCTCCCGTCTTTGCATTTGCCCCCTTCCTTTTTTTTTTTTTTTTTTTTTTTTTTTTTTTTTTNTTTTTTTTTTTTCTTTTCTATATGGCAGCCTCAGTTCCTGTGTCACAGGTTGATCATCTATAGTCTCTTCCTGGCGCTCGTCTTTGAACCAATGGAAGATAAGTCTCTGTCCTTCCATAGTCGCGATTTTGCCCTGGGCTAGTACCCTTTTCTGGGATTTGGTTAAGGTATGCCTTAGCTTCCATTCTAGTCATCGGAGTCTTGCACACCACTTGCTGACATCTTCGTTTCCAGATTGTCCATAAAGTGTACTGTCTCAGCAGCTGAAAGATAAATTTGTGACCTGACCTCCACCCCTTAGGCTCCTCACTTCCTGTCAATATTAGTTTCGTGTTTTGCGGGATGGGGACCTCCGTAGTGTCTGTCCATAGTGAATGAGCTAAGGACCAGAGATGTTCTGCTTCCGGGCAATGGAGCAAGCAATGGTTCCGGAACGCCTCCTCTACACATAACACAGTCTAGATCTGCATCGTTCCTATTGAGCCTGTTTCGCCTATCGAACAACCAGATATTGACCGGGAGTGCTACATGAAAGATGAGCCACTGTATGCTCCTGACCTTGGTACCTCTCTGATACTGTGCAAAGATGACCATGGTAAACTTTCTACCTGTTCCCTTGGTATATCCACTCTTTTCTCCCATCTTATCGCCAACATGTGATCTAAATTACATGATCTCCCCCTTAGACGGTAGCCCAATTTAATGGTGTACTGAAGTATATTAATTTTCCTACTTACTCTTGACAAGCTTCCCTTGATGTTCCATGCCCACTCTGCTGGATCGATTTCCAAATCCCGAATGGATATCAGTGGCTCAAATATCGTAAAATCATCATTCTCCACCACTCTGACCTTTCTTAAGGTGCTTTTCTTAATGACCCCCCCCCCACACCTCTTCTCATTTTTTTCTCTCTCCATTTTTTTGTGAGCAAAGCCGCAACAGGTACCCTTGTACTTTCTGAGATCTCCTTGTCGGCCCTTTCCTGTGATATTGACGTGTGGATGTTGCAGGCTAATGTGGCTGTGGAAGCTAAGGAACAACATGGTGAAGATCAGGAGGGGTCGCAGAGGCGCAAGCATGATAAGAGTATCTGTGCGTCAGATACGGAGTCGATGTTTGTTGCCGTTGATGGGAGGAAGCATGATGCTGCAAAACAAAATGAAACACGTGTGGCAAATCGGGCTACGTCTGCTGTGTCACTTTCATCTACTGACTGTGCTGTAAAGTTGGGCAATAAGCCGTCAGCAGCTATACATAGCGGCAAGAGGAAACGAGAGCATGAGCGTGATGCTCCTGATGTTGTTTCGATCAAGGAGGGGGATTTTGATTGTAATGAAGTGCCAGCAAACAAGAGCTCATGCAAGGACCACCAAGAGCTCATCGACGTTCCACCAGGGGAACCGGCAACTGTAGATGCTCCTACGCAGCAGAGCAGGAGGGGTGCAGCATCACAAAATGACAGAGATTCTGATTGTGTGGCTGTGGGCCCTTGCAGAGCGGAAGAGGACACTGGATGCAGTAGTTTGGCAGCAGAGGGACAAGGGAAGGCTCGCAGAGGTTCTGGTTGTCAAGACAGACGAAGTAACTCGTCTTCCCCTATCCATCACAGGAGAGGAAGTCAGGTAAGGAACGGGCAAGATTACATTATCCTATTTGCAAGTGATGGTAGTCAAACGGAGTGTGGAATAGGACAGGCGTCCTCACCATGCCAGAAAGCAGCTTTATCAGAACGCTCTGGCAAGGTTGCATTAGAGAATGATAACCAAACACCGAGATTGCCGTGGGATATTATTGACTTGATGGATGACGATGCTGATGACGGTAGGGGGAAGCCACAGACCTTAGGGAAGGAGAGTTCCTCCCCAGACAAAGGGCAGGAGGATGTGGACTGTATCAGCCAGCAGAAGGGATGCGGGGAAGGGATGTGCGCACCAGACGATGGGATCAAAATTCAGGAGCCTCGATGTCCATCTCCGTGCCATGATCAGAGAGTCGACGGGGCGAAGTCTGAGCTTGAAGTCATTGCAATTGTGCACATGCCAAAGTTTAGAAAAGACCAAGGAGCACATGAGGAGGCAGGACGGGCGGCTCCGGCGTGTATTGATAATATGGACGACGGGTTGGTCATGAGCGTCATATCGCCTGAATTACAGAATGCTTCTCACTGCTCTGAAGAGACTGGAAACTGTCCACACAAAGACGCAGAACGGCAGAAGAACCCGAGCAGCAGCAAGATGGATGATCAACATGCCGTAAGTGTCGAATCGCTGGTTCTGTGTGATCCTGTCAAGCACCCAATTGAAGTTGAGGATGACAACCACAAGGAAAAAGAACTACAAAGGTGTCTTCCGGGGAAGGATGTCGCCAGAACTGGTGGGAGTAAAAGGGAAATTGAACATGAGCTGCAGTCAGTGGGAAGAGGGAAAGGGATGCAAACAACAGATGATACAAAGGAAGTCCGCTCAGGGATGATGATCGAAACAGCTGATGGGCCTGATGAGAACCGTCTCACCATTGTGGTGAACCTAGCAGAGTCGGTTTTGTGCGATAACGGGAACAGAGTGATAGAAATCATGGGATGCCACGAGGAGCAGGCAGAACAGCCAATTGTGAGTAACCGTATTTGTACGGAGGACAGGTTGGTGGCGAACAGTGATTTGCCTGGCATTTCAGGTGATGCGAACAGGTGTGGCACCAAAATTGACGGCAGCAAGATCGGGAGAGCAGAACAACAGATGATTTCTAACCCTGGTGCAAGGGACGCGAATGAGCATTCGACAAGATCGGTTGAAATTGAAATGAAGGACTGCAGCAGTGACCATGAAGTGATGGAACACCAAAGGAGCCCTGGCACTGGCACGACGGATGAGCGAACAGTGAGGAATGCGCAGTTTCCAGTTGCATATTCGACTGCCAAAAACTCTATCGAAATTCAAGGTCGCAAGTATGGGGCAATAGAAGAGCAGAAGACTCCTGGGATTTGCAAGAGGGATGAGAAGTCGTTGGCGAAAGCGAAACTACCAGTCTCATGTGGTAATGCGGGCGACTCGATTGTAGTTTGTGACAGTCACGATGAGGAGACGACCGTGGGCGGCCAGAAGGGAATGGATGGCAGAGAAAAAGTGAGCATGGTTGTATCGGATGATACTGAATGCTACATTCAGAGCAAGGGTGGCAAGCGCAGGAGCAGCGAACAGCGGAGAAGTCCTGACACTGTAAGGGTTGATGACGGACATGCCTCGCCGAACAGGAACGCTGTGTATTTGTGTAATTTAGTCAAAGAAGATGGACGGCAGGAGAGCAAAATGTCCAGGGTAGAATTCGAGCTCTTCAACACATCCCTGATGCTTGGTGTAGCCACATGCAACTCCGGGATCAAGAGTGGGAGGAGTGAGAGAGCAGAGGGTGGGTTTGAGGAAGCTGAGAGTTCGTGTATGCAGCTGAGCAATGCGAGTGGCGACGGTGCGATGTGTGAAAATGCAGGTCGGGCAATTAACAATCCATATGACAGGAGCAAGAGTATGCAGCAGCAGGAAGAGCAAGAGGTCGATGAAAAATGGGGCAAAGTGTCCTCTGCCAATGGTTTGGCCATCGCGGCACTGGGAAATGGAGATGCGGACAACATCGGAGAGGGAAAGGGTTTTTCCAGAGGCCATGAACCTGTCAACAATTCATTCAATGGAAGCAAGAGTAAGTGGCAGGAAGATCAAGGGTTTCATATAAACAGTGGTGAAGTGTCCGCCGCTGGTGATTTGGTCCTGGCCCCAATGAGAAGTGGAGATGTGTGTGTGGTTGATGTAGATGCTGACAACAGTGGAGATGCTAACGCCTTTTTCAGAGCTAAGGAGATCGCCAGTAACCCTGACAGAGAGAATCAAGATCACACAGACGCGAGTCCTCAGAATGTTGGTGCAAGAGAGCAAAACAAGAGTCGCAAAGAAAATTGTGAAGAAGGCAAGACACCACCGAAAATCATCGACTTACGTGGAGTTCTCGGGAAAAAGCAGCAAGCAGAAAAGACAGGCTCGCAAAACATCATCGACTTGAGTCACATTGTATCCAGACCCCGTGACAACGGCTGGGGAGTGGAAAAACCCATCCCTCCTGTTATTGGTTGGCGTGGAGTTGTGAAGAAGCGTCAGGGGCAGCAGCTGAATTCGGAAGGATCCGCTTGATGAAAGGGACACGATTGCATGCATAGTCAATTCATCTCTCTTTCTTCTTTGTAACGAAGCCTCAGAACACTGCCCGCTGTTCATGCGGGTCCACTGTTCATGCGGAAACTCGGCTCTGTCAACAAGTTGCCTGGCATTGGCTGCCAGCCTGTCTGCATGTCTCTGCTTCCTTGCGCACATCTGCCCGAAGCACTCTGGAAACAGTAAGGGTTGCAGCAATTCCTGTGAAGTATTGGTGTTTGTTTTTTTTTTCACCTCCCCAATTCGCGCAAGAAATCAATCTGACCACCACAGAGACACACAGGAATGATCCTTATTCTTCACAGACTGCTTTGGCAGATGCACAAGGAAGGAGGGAAAGGCTCCCGGAAAACTCACCGCTATTGCTGCAAAGAACCAGTTCTTTTTGTTGAGCTTACTCATTTGCACCGAATGGCAGATGGGTTCTGTTCAAAAGAGGAAGGTTAACAACTTAATGGGGAGGAGCGTGCATGAGTACCTCTGGCAGATGCACAAGGAAGGAGGGAAAGGCTCCCGGAAAACTCACCGCTATTGCTGCAAAGAACCAGTTCTTTTTGTTGAGCTTACTCATTTGCACCGAATGGCAGATGGGTTCTGTTCAAAAGAGGAAGGTTAACAACTTAATGGGGAGGAGCGTGCATGAGTACCTCTTGTATTATGTCTGACTTGCCGATGGGAAAAGGAACCGGACTGCTGCTTCCCAGAATAGAAGGAGCCTTATTATCTTTATTAAAAAAAAAAAAAAAGGGAGGTCGACAACTCTACAGGACTTGTGCCGAGTTTCTTGGGAGCCTTTCTCTGCTTCCTTGCTCGTCTCCCAGATGCACCCTGGGAAGAATAAGGATCGTTCTCGTCAGGCTCAGCGTTTGTGTGTGTCGGTGGTCAGCTCGACTCAGCTGCAAATTGATTTGCTCTGCAAATGAGGAAGGTCAACGAAAACTCAGTTGGTACACCCCTGAAGTGTTGAAATATGGACCCGAGCTCGAACACCACCGGAAGCAGATGAATTTTTGAAGTGCCTAGGGACGGTCACTTCGACGATGATATCTCAAGGCCGGGGGGTACTTCGAGAAGGAGGAAGGTCGACGAAAACTCGCAACTCTTCACAGGAATCATGACAAGTTTCTTCGGAGCCTGTTTCTGCTTCCTCAAGTAGCAACCTGAAGCGCTCTGGGCAGAATACGGTTCATTCTTGCCAGGCTTCAGTCCGTAGGCGGCGTAGGGTGTTTTTGTGTGTCTGTGGTCGGCGGGTTGTCTTTCTGCGCATACGAGGGAGGTTCATTAGAACACATATTCTTTGCAGCAACTGCAGCAAATTTCCTCAGATATCGGAAGGATGATTATACGGCGATATCGTATCATGGAAGGTTGGGAGATGGTGAGTTCAGTTTAACAACAGCATTGTTTAAGTTGCTGTGCAATTTGTTATTCTCATCTTTTTCCTTTTCTTTTGATGTTTTTGACACTTTGTTGTATTTGTTATTTCCATCAGTGCTGTACACTTGCACAGTTTGAGTTACCGACCGAGTTCCACTGTACTCAGTTCCGCCACTGTACTCAGTACTGAGTTCCAGTCTACCAAGTTTCAATATATTGAGTTCCATTGTACTCAGTTCCACTGCTTATGAACTCGGTTCCACTGTACTTTATTCTACCACAGTCCTCAGTTCCACTGTACTCAGTACTGAGTTCCACTGCTTATGAACTCGGTTCCACTGTACTGAATTCTACCACAGTCCTCAGNTACTGAGTTCCACTGCTTATGAACTCGGTTCCACTGTACTGAATTCTACCACAGTCAGTTCCACTGTACTCAGTACTGAGTTCCACTGCTTATGAGCTCGGTTCCACTGTACTGAATTCTACCCCAGTCCTCAGTTCCACCACTGTACTCTCTACTGAGTTCCAGTCTACCAAGTTTCAATATATCGATTTCCGTTGCACTCAGTTCCACTGCTTATGAACTCGGTTCCACTGTACCGAATTCTACCACGGTCCTCGGTTCCACCACGGTTCTCGGTTCCACCACTGGACTTGGTTCCACCACTGGACTTAGTTCCACCACTGTACTCAGCTGCACCACTTTACTCAGCCCCATTGTACTATGAGAGAGACAGAGAGAGATACAACTCAGCGAACAATTTAGTTAGAGGTTGACTATGGCAGCGTAAGCACATCGTTAAAGCACAACCTTGGGGAGGAGTTATGGTGACCCTTTTTCATTTGTGTCTCACATTCAAAGGGACAATGTGGCTCCACTGTTTCACATTCATTGTGTTTTGGCACAGATTACTTCGCTTCCACTGTTTGATGCGGTTGTTCAACCTTGGGGCGGAGTTTATGGTGACTTTTGTTTCCCCTTTCTAGTTTTCCTTGTCCACCACTGCACTCAGTTCCACTCTATCAGGGACACTGTACTCCGATCCACTATTTCACATGCATGATGATGCTGTTGTTTGGGCTGAGTTACTTTTTCTTTTTTCCCCCTTTGAGAGGGACCTTATGGGCCTGGCTCCATGTGCGTTCTGGGCTGCATCAGTCGGGCGCCTTTTCCACTGGCATTGTCTGGCAAGCCATAAACAATACAACATATGCCACACACCCACGTTTCCTTTCATTGATGCAGAAGCAGCCATGAACAGCATTGATAACTCCATTTCATTAAGCTCGTTGTTAAACTCCTCTCTCTCTTTCTTGCCAAGGCTTTCTCTTCTAAGAATGGCTTGAAAACAACCTCAGAATGGGGGGGGGAGGAGGGGGAGGGGGGAATATCTTAGAAGAGAAAGCCTTGGTCCAAACCCCTCCGCTGTTGTTCAATGCTACTGACATGTAGTGTGGCATGGAACCCAGCAGGGCCCGACCAGGTAGGCTAGGGGTCAGAAGAGTTAGGTCTGTGTCGTTTTGGCCCGCATTAGGGCCGGTAGGGCCTGTAGGTTAGGCTAGGCCGACCGGTACCAGTTAGAGGCCCTGTAGGCCTCGTTTGGACGCAGGCCCTGGCACGCATTTTAGCGCCAGACCCTGAGACAGAGGCCGCGCCGTCAGTAGGCACCTGCCCGATTGAGGCTCAGCCTCAGTTTGGGCACCAGGACTCAGCAGCTGAGGCCGACCCAGTGCTATATATAGCTGGGTCCAGCTTCGGCCAGGCATTCAGTAGAGGATTGAATAGGGGCTCTCTTTCGATGACATCGGTGTAGTAGTAGTCTTCCAGCACTGGGCGCTGATAGGACTTCGAGTAGCGCAGGGAGAGGAGAGAGACTGTGGCGGACGCCAGGGGACTTGCCTGAGACTTACCTGCGATGCCATCGCTCCAGCTTCGTCTTCAGCACGTCCATACCTGCATCAAGGCGCCACCTTTTGCAGGTCAGTACCTGGTACAGAGAGAGAGAGAGAGAGAGAGAGAGAGAGAGAGAGAGAGAGAGAGAGCTTCTTTCCCCTCCAGCACTCTATGACTTCTTTTTATTAGGCTATGAGAGAGAGAGAGAGAGCTTCTTTCCCCTCCAGCACTCTGACTTCTTTTTATTAGGCTATGAGAGAGAGAGAGAGAGAGCTTCTTTCCCCTCCAGCACTCTATGACTTCTTTTGATTAGGCTATGAGAGAGAGAGAGAGAGAGAGAGAGAGAGATTGACAACATTGGGAGAGAGAGAGAGAGAGATTGACAACATTGGGACTCAGACTCGACATTGGACAGAGACGTTGTGGGGGACTATATGGGATTAATATCAGCGACATTCGGGTTGACGACATTCTCATCTCCTCCTCCCTCTTCTTCGCCTCTTCCTCCTCATTTGTGTGTGAGCTGTGCCTGGCGCCTCTGTCCTTGAGTGTGGCGCCAGGCCATTCACACTGAATGATGATGATGATGTATGTCCAGTCTACATTTCGACATTGAGTGGGTCTGATCATTGGTATTCCAGTCTTCCGCTGTGCCATCCTGCTCTATCGATGAGAGGTCGGTTCTTGGTTCTGGTCTGTACCACCTCTGTATGCGACATGTAGTCTCTCAGAGTTGTGCCAGTCTTTCTATTTCAAGAGCGGTCCCTCGATCTTTTTGCAATTTGTCTTCCACCAACCAGATTTGTTGGAGGTTCCCCTTGAATTGTACCCCTCTACTTGTACCATACCATCATGGTGATTGGGCTGCGGGCTTCTCCCCTAGTTCTCTCATGTCTTTCTTCTTTGAATCGCTGGCATTGGGTCTTGGAATTCCTGTTTGACGGGCAATGTTGCCGCATAACCTCGCTGAGCCCTTCCTCAGACTTTGCATGCAGATCAAAGGGACTTCTCACTATCGTCTTCACCCGAATAGGACGCCCCGTCATTATAGCCGTATTTGGTTCAATCTCCATTCCATCTAGAGCTATAATGACCGGGCGTTCTATTCGGGTGAAGACGGTAGTGAAAAAAAGAACCACACTTGCTTGCAGGCGGAAAAGAAGCCAGACTGCTACTCCCCTGAATAGAACAGAGCCAGGACCGTCAGACCATTTTTTTCCCCTGGAAAAGAGGACGGAAGGAAAGCAAAGAAAAGAATGACCTGCAGAGAAAAAGGCGAAAAGAATGGTTTCAGTGTGGCTTATGCTGTTCATGATGAGTATGCGCGGCGAATAGCATTTCCATCCCAGCCTTTGATCCGCGCGGTAATTGCCGAACACCTCTGCTCACATCTGCAGAGCTTATATCCACTTATGGATGACTCGTTTTTTTGGGGGGGCAGGGAGAGGTCATTTTTCTTATTTATGTGTCTCATCCTTTCCTTGTGCAGGGGCCATGCTCATCTTCTCTGTATCCAAGGACATGAGACTCCTTAGTTTTCTGTAGCCTGATCATCCTTTTTTCCCCCAAAGGGAGGGTAGCTCATAATTTTATTGTGCTAGTTTGATAACTTTGATTCCATCTTCTCTTTAGTCAAATTCATCTTCTCTCTACTGACACTTACATGCGGCTGCCATTCGGCCACATGGGCTCTGTAGTAGCCTGATCCTGCTGTGCTTTATGGCCTGACGTACCTTTGTTTCGATTCTTTCAAACTTTTGTCACACAAGTAAGCGATTTGTACACCTGCATTCTTCTTTATTCTTTTCTGATTGTTTCCCAATCTGTGCGTCATCGTTCTGCAGGGGGCAGGCTAATCTTGTCTGTATCGTTCCAATTTTAATGGGATCTCCTGGCGGATGGGACATCTGCACGCAGTTTTGACAGAGTTGGTGTATGGCCCCATGACAACAGTTGTCGTTCCGTTCCTCTCGCTCGACAACTCAGTGTGGAAACTTTGCTGCCTCAGAGGAATGGGCCAACGATCACGAAGGTGCGAACCTCAAAGATCATACTGTGGATGTGGATTGGAAGTCGAAGACCTGAGGCCATCTGGGGACTGTACAGTGCTGTTGCTGCTTTTGATTTTGAGAAGATTGAAGACATGATCTCGGCAGCGTTGAGGAAGCTGAGTGGTCCAAGTGGTAGTGAAAATTGTCCTCTGCTGAGCACTTTGAGGGGTGCGAAAAGCCCCACCACTGCAGGGCTGAGTGGTCAAAGTGGTAGTGAAAATTGTCCTCTGCTGAGCACTTTGAGGGGTGTGAAAAGTCCCACCACTTCAGGGCCTTTCCTCGACAGGTTGAGTATGCTGGTGACTATGTGTCACAGAGGCTTGTTGTTTATCAGACCTTGTTAGAGTTGAGCTGACACAGAGAGAGAGAGAGAGAGAGAGAGAGAGAGAGAGAGAGAGAGAGAGAGAGAGAGAGAGAGAGAGAGAGATGCGATGGGTTGTGTCATACACGGAAGGAATCATTTGCAGCGTAGTGCATCCTCTGATGGAATGGCATCGAGCAGTTTAATGTCTTCTTTCCTCAGTAGTGACCAAGTAAAATGTAGGGGCTTCCTATTGAAAGCAAACTTGGGTCTTCGCCTCAATGGATACTAATACTGTTCTTCCGTCGATTGGTTTCCCCATGAAAAATACCATTGTTTTCGAACTTTTCCATCTCATTAATTTCCTCTTCAAGTGATAGTATACTCAGTATAGTACTTAGCCGCCCATCCGTAGTCGTGCATCAAGCCTATGCCTAGTCAGAATGCTTCAATATATTTTTAGCCACTTCATAATCTGTGCACCTGTGGGTGTAGACTTCACTTCTTCAATCGCTCTTATTCAATTGTGCTGGCAAATGTCCATGAGTGGGCTTCTCTGCCTTCTGAAAGTTAATCAGGAATGCTAGGTACTGCACTTAAATGTCTGTGTGTGCGGCTTTGTGTGTGTGTGTGTGTGTGTGTGTGTGTGTGTGTGTGTGTGTGTGAGAGAGAGAGAGAGAAGACATTGTGTGTGGTATGTTCAGACTTCGGCATTGTGTGTGTGTGTG